AATCTGTGACATTATATAGGCCTTCATTTGTCCCTGTCATGAACTGATAAAGTATGTTTTTCAGAGTAGTCCTAGGCCTATCTTCAGAAAAGCTACTGGATATATATGTATACATATATCTAAACATCGATATAGGAGCTACCGTCATCTTATGTTCTGAGAAATGTTGATGAAATAAAAAGGGTTTGGGGGACACAAGGGCAAAAAATCTGAAATTAATCTGTTTATATTGGCTCCGACATTTTAAATATCTAGTTAATTTAGATTCATCAAGAAAGAGATATGACGCAACGGATATATTCGGGTAATTCCAACAATCGACACATTTTTGTCGGAGAAAAAAAGGAGAGCTGTCTTTCGCATTTGAAATACATTTGAATTTTTGCAATGCTTTCCAATATTAAAGTGAAGAATCAACCAAAAAATGTTGTCTGTAAAATAAATTAAAACACTCAAATATGTATTTAAAAAGCCACCAGATGGCACGACAGAGCTTCTAGATCTAAAAAAAATTGGGCGGGGGGGGGGGGGGCATGCCCCCTTATCCCCCTAGAATGGCAGCGCTGGCATTTGCACCTTTGGTGCGACTTTCTGCATGCACATCCAAAACAGCTCAGCTACACGCCTGTACACCTACCTGCGAATGTATACCTGTGACAGCTTAACACTTTGGGTTTCGGCTCTTTCCCTGTTCATCAAAAGATTGATAAAATGCCAATCTTTAAAATGATCCTACCCTGGTACTGTTGTTATGAGCTATCTCAAGAATAATTCACCTTCTGTCCGCAATCACTGTGCTTCTCTCTGAGCACCACTGAAGAAAAGTCAACAGTTTGCTCGTTTTCACTAATGACATCCTTTTATGTACAATACCTGGAGAGGTGTGCTACCCCCTAAGGTGTGATAACCAAGAAGGAGATATTTGACCTATATTTAAAACCTACTGAATTTCACTTGTTAAAAGTAGTGTGAAAAATACTATTTCCACAAACCTTAATGGCAGATTATTAGCAAGAGGCCTAATGGGCCGTATTGCTCATATGGCATTTTTTTCACATATTCGAGTTCTACATAAATATCATTACACAACACATAATAGGCCTTCATTGGAAGATCTTAATACCCTACTTATAGTGTACTATTTGTTGTAAGCTTTTAATTATTTTGCTGATCCTATCAACTTGGCTAGGGAGAATTTCTTTTCAGCTCATTCGGTTGAGTGTAAGACTAGTAAACCAGAGGTCCTGGGTTCAACTCCTAGCAGAAGCATCGTAAAATAAATTACCTCTATTACATTTATTTTACAACAATCATGAAAGAAGCTCTGGTCACTAGAGTACCTGAAGAAAACCTGAATAGCCAGGCAGGAGACCCCAGGAATTTTCAAGTCCAAATGGGATTCAAATCTTAGGTGTCTTGGTGAAAGGAGGAAGTGTTAACCACTGCGCCACCTGACTTCCAGGAGAAAAGATTTATTATGAATATCATCAATGCACATGGTTACTATTAAACCTCAACCATTGATGATGTCATAACACCAATTTTTTTAACTAGTGACATCTCTTTGAATTGCAATACCTGCCAAGGTGTGTTAACACCCTGAGTGTGTGCTAATCGATAGAGATGTTTGACCTATATCTATGACCTACTGACCTTTTCCCACAGGTATCGGGGGGGGGGGGGGGGGGGGGGGGGGGGGGTAGTGTGAACCTCATGCACACACATGCCACAAACGTACCTGGCAGGTGAAAAATTGATTGTCATTTCCTGTTCCGAAGCAACCAGAATTCTTTTGATGTTTTATTTGTATTTTTTAGATGAAAATCTAATCTAATCAACATTGATGTGACCATCCTCGCTATCCAGGGGTTACGCTTCCTCGATATCCAGGGGTTACGCTCACTTTCGCTCTCTACACCCCTGGAATATGTTATAGCAAAATTGAAGGCACGAAGATAGCTGTTTGAATGGTCTAAGGTAAAAAAAAACTGACCAATCGTTAGGCTGATATCTGTCCTGTCATTTTTTACCATTACCTGACCGCGAGATTCTTTTGATGTATATCAAAGGATCGAACTAGTCTTCTTGTCTCATCAACGAGGGGGCGAGGGGGCGCACACTGATCCTTCAATTTTACTATGACATATTCCAGGGGTGTAGAGAGCGAAAGTGAGCGTAACCCCTGGATATCAGGATGTGATGTGACCGGTAAGGCAATAAAACCTTTATTATCAGGTTAAACCTACAAGCTATATATGTATCAACACAATTTGCAGTTTCATTCCGACTCAATACTCATATACTATATACATTGTTAAATCCTTTTAATTGCTTCATCTTCTATATAAAAGGCAGAATAATCCGAAATTTTACAGTGGAAGTTCATACTTGCCAACTCTCCCTATTTAGGACAGAGACTCACAATTTTTTACCCTTCAATTTAGTATTTCCAACCACAGAATTTGCTAATCTATTTCTATAGTCTAAGATCTAATGATTTTATCTGAAGGAACAACTCAAAATATGTCAATATAAAAGATTTTTTGTCTCTAAGAGGTATATACATACATTTTATTTATGATTTTACTTTTAGCATGCAAAATCTTCCCCACTGAAATTTCAAAAGGTTGGCGAGTTAGAAGTTTCTCTTAGCCAGAAAAAGTCCTTTTGGTCAACCTCCATCCTTTTATCTTAAGGGGAGAATAATCAAAAAAGGTCAAATGTCAAAAACCATCCGAGTTGAACACTTCTCATGTAATTATAAATGATGTTGTGGTACCTTAAATGTTTATACACAACTTTACCTTTAAAATATCTATTTATCTTTTTCTCCGTCAAAAACAAGAATTCATTTGTGAAGATTCTTTAAATCATTCCCTGGCAAAAACAGGAATTCATTTGTGAAGATTCTTTTAATCATTTCCCTGGCAAAAACAGGAATTCATTTGTGAAGATTCTTTTAATCTTTTCCCTGGCAAAAACAGGAATTCATTTGTGAAATTGCTCGTGAAGTAAACCTGTGCACTTACTTATCTTGAACTTCTATTGTAATTTTTGCTTAGCGGTAATTAGTAGATGCCAATTGACTTGATAATTAACCAGACTCATACTTTTGGTACTACACTTTTTCTGTTGTTCTGGTAAAAGAATCAACAATGGGAGGTTAGACCCTGATTCGAACCCTGAACTTCCGGCTGGAAAACTATTACTGTAACCAGCTGAGCTATCTAGTGGAAGAAAGTGCCTACCGTAATTGGTCTACAGTAGCAGTAAACCTCCAGTAATATCGTACAAAATTAAACAAATATTGTCAGTCCTGTTTTAATTACATGAAATCATTGCCGCTAAAATAAAAAGTAGTTTAAACAATCTAAGTCAACATCAACAAAAAATATGATGAACAGTCAAGTCGTTGATATGGCACAACGACGGCCTCTTACGATATCCAAACGGAAGTGAAGGGGAGGTTACTGCATGTAGGAAAAACCGCAGTGCAGTGGGACAAGGATCCTTAAGATAATTTTCTGTTTGCAAATTATACCAAAGACAAAAGAATTCCAGTGCTCACATAGGGTGTCTATGAGAGTCCATGAGTTTCAGTCATGGTGTTAGTTGGTGTGTTAAAACAAAATTGACACAGTCTTTAAAGATTCTTTTCTAAATGTAAAAAATGTCCAGTTAAAAAAAACACATGAAAATAATCAATTTATTTTAAATGAACTATCATTTTTAGAGCTCTGAAGCAGAGCTTCGCTATTAGTATCACACACATCAGCCTCAGGGCATTGAAATATTTGTATAAATGGTGTCTTTTTTAAGGAGTAGCACATTGTGAATTTACTGAAAATCCATGTTTAAATGTTAAATTTGGAAACATGAAATAAAGAAAAAAAAGACATATAGACATCAGATCTATTTATCTTGCAGTCTAAATACCAGTAACCCCAGCATGAAGAACAAATATATTTCAAATTAAACAGAAAAATATTTAACATCACTTGTAGTAATTTGACTCTGGCCCATTTCTGATCCTTCCTTTTTCTAGGTCTCCGCAAGACTGCATTATGGACAGCACATTTTTATCTTATTCACCCCTACATGTTTAAAAGTGGACTTGCCCAGTCTATGATTGGGTAAGGTTCAAATGTGACTTTACGGATGAGTGGGTTAAGTATCCCCTTTTTACAGTACATGAAATAAGCAGTCAGGTAATTAAGACACAAATGTAAAGGTGCAGGAAAATGAGACAGGTAAGACCATGATTTGAACCAAGAACCACAAAACTCCACGCTTGACGGGTGCTCTAACCTACTGAGTTTTTACCTAGTATGTACATGGCCCAGTCACGACATAAAACATAATAACGCAATAACTGCATTGCCTTAAAAAAGAGCCTATTGACCTCAGCTTCACTTAGGTTAATAATTTCTTTAGGTAGCTAACCAGTTGATAAACCTTATGATGGCCCTCATATTTAGGCAATACTTATTTCAATAAATATATTTGAAGAAATAAAATGTATTGTGTATACGGGGGCCAAGTGCAACACAAATAATCTTAAGCTTTGTGATGTTTATTTGTGTGATGTGTATGATAGAATGTGACATCTGTGTATACATATATGTGTTTTGTGTCAATGTGTAGCTGGATGGGACACATGTGTGTGGTATATGGTCGTATGCATAGGTTACCAAGAAACATGTGTGTTTTTTCTGTAACATTTGTGAATTAATTATTAGTGCACATTTATATTACGTGTAAAATGACACATGTAATATCTGACATATGTGTTAAGGGCCGTATTATGCATAATAAGAACTAACATACTTGTTACTTTACTGACACACGTGTACAAGAATGTGGTATTGTTCTAACATTGGACTGACATTTGTCAAATGCATGCGCGTTTTTTATGTGATGGGTACACGTGTCTAAATATGTGCATGCGTGTCTATATAAGCATGCAATGTGTCCGTTTCATCCGAGCCACCGTAACTTACCTATTCTTGAAGACCTTTGTGATACTTGATTTATATATCCAGTAGCTGTTACCATCAATTGTCACGTCCCGTTCACCATGCTTATTGCACGCTACAGCCGTTAGGCCTAACAGACGACTGTACTTGGTCACAGATGCACCGAACGGAATCGCCCGTACACAATGTTTTGGGGAATTCCCTCCCCAGACCAGTCCATGTGTGTAGCTACCCGCTGCACATCATGCGGAGACAGATGCTGCTTAGACTATACCAATGTCGGGCAGAGGGGAGGCAGGACGCTAGCGTTACTGGCCACTAATATTCTGCACGCATGTTGGTATTTTATCAGATGAACATTGATTCCCTGTTTGCATGTCCCCGACCAGTCAGCTCATCCATAACTTAGCTCTGTCAATCCAGGAATCAGACAGGGAATACAATACACAAAACGTCTACTGATACACAGGGAAGATATTATTTTGCTGATGTATAGTAAGGCTTTCAGGAAATAATTGTGAAACGTATATATTTAATAACACATTACACAGGAACCTGAGTGTCAATGACATCTATAACGTTTCATAATACTTCCTACATATCAGGATATGTCCAAATATACACCCTGTAATTAATTTTCATGTCCCTGTGGTATATTATATGTAACTTATACCACGTACCAAGTACAGTTGTTTATATTTTTAAATATTTTCGTTTCTCATATTCCCACTGTTTTATATTTCTTGGTATATTACCATATAATTTGATATAACAGGGACAGATCTCGGGGAGATTGATCATCCGGACCCTCTCTATTTCTGAAATATAACGATACAATAATAACTCGAGACACATTTGCATATTCTAAATCAATACCAGGTCGGACATCACTTTATACGGTACTGGACAACGCTGTGTCATTTTTTTTCTAAATCGCGGGTTTTCCGCGGTTACAACTTTGGACCGCGATAGTTTGCCAGACGACCGCTAAAAACACGCCCACCAAAAGAAATTTCATGAATAGGATATGGCGTGTACCCGGCCCTCCGGTAGCCGACTGGGCCAAATGGTTCACCATATGTGAGTAACCGACATCTGTGTCCTGTCCTGAAATAATTTGCACGCAGACTGATCTAGATGGGGTCGGGTCGGAGCATTTATGATTAGGTAATGGTGAGGCTGAGTTAAGAGCTTATGCCCCCGCCACCCGAGCCGTCACCCGGGACTCCCCGGATCTGAACCATTGATCATGTTACCGGTATGTTTAGATATGTGAACCAGAACGTTGTAATTTACTCGTTCATATTTCATTTCATTCACTTCTTGTTTCAAAAGCGACCGTTCCGATTCCACGAACCGAAGAATGCGTTTTGAGTGCGTTCATTATTTCACTGTCCCTATGCAGCAATTATTCAGCAAGAAACAATTTGGGTTTATCCAAGAAAGATCAACTGTATTACAGTTAATTCAAGTAATTAACCACTGGATGAAAATAAATTCTTGATGTAATGCAGGAGGATGCATTGATGTGCTGTACTGTGACTTTATGAAAGCATTTGACAAGGTCCCTCACCACCGACTCGTCCATAAAATGAGCATGTACGGATTTACGGGTAAAATCACGAGCTGGATTAAAGCCTTTCTTCTAAATCGCAAACAACGCGTAACAATAAATGGAGACACGTCATGTTGGAAGGAGGTGAGCAGTGGTATTCCACAAGGATCCGTCCTAGGCCCAGTCCTATTTGTAAATGACCTCCCGAATATAACAAGTACGGAAACCAACACATACCTTTTCGCAGATGACACAAAATTCTACCGTGCTATATGTAACACCCAAGATTGCGAGGGCCTACAGGAAGACCTGCTGAAAGCTCAATCATGGAACAAAAAGTGGCTTCTATTTTTCCACCAAGACAAATGCAAAGCAATGCGAATTGGCAACAGTGATATTGACAACTTCACCTACAACCTAGATGATGGGAAAGAACTTCCCTATACAGAACATGAGAAAGATATTGGAGTCACCATTGACAACAAATTAGCATTTAATGTACATATATCTGAAAAAATCAACAAAGCCAACTCTATAATGGGTGTAATAAGGCGTACTATGGAATACATGGATCTGACAACATTCACAGCTGTATACAAAGGACTTGTGAGACCACATCTAGAGTATGTCAACCAAGTCTGGAGCCCCCATCTCATTAAACAGATAGAATCGATAGAAAATGTACAAAGGAGAGCTACCAAGCTAATACCCGGAATGGCTAATCTATCCTACCCCGAGAGACTTCAACGCCTGAAATTACCAACATTGGCATATCGAAGAGCCAGAGGAGACATGATAGAACTATATAAAATCATGACCGAGAAGTATGATCCCGAGGTGTCGACTTTCATCAAACCTAACAAGAACACCACCACCACCACCACCACCAGAGGACACGAACTCAAATTATCCGGAAACACTCATTCCTTCACCGAACCGTGGATATATGGAACGGCCTGTCTTATCATTGCACATCTGTTCTCTATGAAACTGTGCAGCTATCTGTAATGGACTCGCAAAAAATACTCAGAAATCATGTTATAAATATGTTTAACCAACTATATGTACTATTGTAACTTTTATAATTGAGCTGACAGCAGAGGTAATTGTACAATTTCCTACAGTCAGAATAAATCTGTGTATCTGTGTATGCACGTGCCAAATTGTGCATTTTCGCTACTCGCAAGTAAGTTTTTACAATCTTAACGGACTTTGTTACTGTTGTGTAAACCTTTACATCCAAATTAATCAGGAAAAGAAATTTGGTGAGTATGTTTGATAAGCTATGCCTTGACTCAGTGAAAATTCAGCAACGAGTTTGGGAATATTCAGGCTGTTGTTGCCCCAAGCGTTGTTGCTTGGCGCTTTAGTGTGCATCGGAATACTATTCCTGCCTTAATGGAGACGTTTCCAGCAGTCTGGTAACACGGGTAAGATTGATTGATTGATTGATTGATTGATTGATTGATTAATTGATTAATTGATTAATTGGATTTACGTCCGCTTCATTACCGAGTAGTTCGATTGTCCAGCAGACGAAACACAGAGACGGTTGGTAGGTTGGTTGATGGGTTTTACGTCTACACTTCACTGTTTGGTCGACGTGAGGGGGTAAGTTGCCGCTTACCAGGCCCTCGGAGATTCTAAAGTCCTGCCCATCCAGGTCACGCCCTGAGGTCGGACAGCTCCTCAGATGTGGACAGGCTGTCACTCACAGCTACTGCGGTCCACGGAACGACGTCCTTAGTGTAGTCCTCGCTATCCTCCTATGACACGGAGACGGTTGGTTGGTTGAAGGGTTTAGCGCCTACATGAATCCGCCCTTGCGGGTTTCATCTCACCGACGGTAGTCGATGTTCTGTCGGCGCGATGGTAGTTGCCTTCCCTCAGGCGGTGGGTTGGAGTCGCCTATGCTATCTCCTATCCTTATATTTTGGTGAAATTTGGAGGCGACTCCTTTGTCCGAAACTAGTGTTTTTGTATCGTTGGGGGAGGTTAAAAATTGGCCAAGAAGGCTTGTAATAATGTATATATATAAGAAGAAAAAATAATTGTATATTTGGAATGTGTATTTATTGTATATATTCTTGTTCTTATAGGGAAGTATATATATTATACTTGTTATGTACCTCGGGTCTCTAACTTCCGGTTGTGCCCGACAGTAGAGAAAAGTCTCTGCTTCCGTTAGGTACAGTACTTTGATTCTTTTGTCAGGCGTATATACCACTGGCTTTATATGTCTCTGGGTAACACCAGGGACCCCTCCCCAAGTTCGTTCGGCGGGACGTCGCGTGTGACGTCATTCCTCTTGGCCTCGATAGTAACATGCAGGGAGTCTAATATTAGAGGCAAGCAGAGTAACAGAAGAAAACCTAAAAGGCCAGGCAGGAGACCCCAGCCATTTTCAAGTCCAAATGGGAGTCAAATCCTGGCTTTCTTGGTGAAAGGCGGATGTGCTAACAACTGCGTCACTTGACCACCAGGAGGAATTATTTATTATGACATCATAATTATAAATGCAGATGGTCACGTAAAAACATCAATCATTGATGATGTCGTCACAAAAAAATGTTTTGAACAAGTGACATACTTTTAACTGCAACACCTGGCAAGGAATGTTAACCTCCTAAGTGTGTGTAAGTCAGTGAAGAGACGTTGACCTATATCTATGACCTACTGACTTTTGCCGGTATATTCCACATACGTAACTAGCAGGTGAGATAATCGTGTTAGCAGTCTGGTAGCACAGAGATGTATATACTACTGGCTTTATATGTCTCTGGATAACACCATCATCTGTGGACGCTGACCACTTGATATGGACTTTCTACTGCGAAGACTCGAATACTGAACAAACACACATAACATATTACTAAAGAAATATTAATACACATACACCGTGATTAATATGTAAAAGGGAAATAGTGTAGGACCTAGAACGGAGCCCTGTAGAACACCGAGTTTTATATCTAGAGACTATCTAGATATTGAGCTAAAGTCGGTCTTTCCGGTAGGAAAGAATGGATTAGGTCGGGATGTGGAAAGGGGAGGAGGGCTTGAAAATATTTGACCGAGTCTGAAATAAGACTCCTATTTATTAATTTAATTGAAGTCAGGGGTATCTCAGAAAATGTATTACCCTGGTTCTAAAGTTTCTATTTGTTACTCTGAGGCTCGGTTGACTTACCCATTCTTACAACTAGGAATTTTCGAAACAGCGTAAAAGGTGTCCTGAGTTACCCATTAAACTGATTTTAATTAAATTTATAAAAATGATTCTTATGTCAGACTTAATCAAATATATATCCCCCCCCCCAACACCTTCAACCCACACCCCTCCTCCACTGTCAGAAATATTTTTCTTATCAATATCTTAACCTTCCTGATATCGTAAGGTATGTGTCCAATTATTGATAAATGGCAGAATCTCCGGGCATGAAGCCATACTGAATTTGAGAAAAGAAAGAGGTATGGCGCTTTTGAACCTGTTTCGACCAAAAACGGGAATTTTACTGATTTAAGATACAGAATTTATTTAAAATGGAGTGTCTATAGCGAAGAGTTAGAGGGCTTTGTGTTCGCAGGCAACAGACACTTGTTTACAAGAACCGTGTTCAACTCCTCTAAACTAAAGAGACATGGAAGAAGGGAGATAACTCTGATGATATTTTTCAGAAAGAATATTTTTTACCTACATCGTTATTTTCTACTGTTATTATATACAATTGAATTGTATATGGAAAGAAAAAAATGTGTATTCTAAAATAATATATAACTGACAGAATGTTAGAGAGATTCCGTAATTTGTTACCATGGTATTAGTTTCACGACAGGTACTTCATTTTTGCCGGAACATAATCCGCTTTCCACCCTTCGCCAAAAATACCGGTATGTACATATGCGGAAGTGAAACTAGACGGGCGGATTTATAAACAAACGCGTCATTGACAAGAATAGACATAGAAAACGACAACTATGGCTACCGGCAGCATTATCGGTCTGAAGCCACATTTTTATGTGCATGTGACTGATCTAGTAAGTAAAATACAAATTTGTACAATTGTCAATTAATATAAAGCAATATTTATGGGGAATTTCTGACAGTTTTTGACAGTTGTCAATGCAACTGCCCTGGTTGTGACAATGTCGAAGTTGTCGACTCAGCACGATGTCCATAGGCTATGAAAGTTGCCGTCGTGAAAGTATACTATCGATAGTTTTTTGTTTTTTTTTACCATAAAATCTCTGCGTGCACTTTGTTTATATCTTATTTTATGCTTTCCATGTTTTTTTGCACGTAATTAGAGGCCCGGAGAATGTGCTAACACTAAGTTCATTACAGAAGGTGGTCATAAAAAAGAGTTCCCAATCGGTTAATCATGTATATATGATTATATATATATGAAAGTTTTATTTTAATTCGGTATAGTTACAAACTACAAACATAAGCTCTAATGAGCTTTTAACCGAATACATACAAGCATATCTTTACAACAACATAAAAACAAAATCATGCAAGCAAACTAAAAATAGAGAATGCACACATAAAAGTAAGCAAGGACTAAAAATGGCAGAGCAATATTTTCTGTGATCGACCATAACCAATTACTAATTTAGTAAACTGTGTTCTGAGAATATATACAACGCATTAAGCCAGCAAATTGTAAATAATAACACATAATATAAATTAATGTTATTTATCATGAAATAAGTTTATTAGGTCGATACCAAGATACAGAAATATATATATATATATGTTCAATCCAAGACAATGATAAATGTTTTCTTAACGACTTATGATATAAAGTTTGCAACCCATAGTATATCATGTTTTACAATGGACTTCAAAGTCGGACATTTAAAAGGTAAAGGTTTTGTGCATATGTACATCTGATCCATAACAAAATAGGATGTTTCATTGAATTATGCAATCCTGACTTTTCCTGGTACAAACACTATAGGTAAGGCTAGAAACCTGGCTAGCAAAATGGGTAAAAGTATTTCTTTTTCCTTTGCCTCATGAGCAGGATTCTTGCTCAATTATACTGAATTAGTGCTAATTAACTCTGCTGACTTCTAATAGATTAAAGCGAAATTTTGGTTTGAATCAATCACTTTTTTTCTCATTTTTAGCTCACCTGCCCAAACAGCATGTTAAGTTGTTATACCATGGTGTGATATCAGTTGTTTGTCTGTAGTCCGGCTTTAACACAGTGTTTTGTACAACATCTTCTGAACAATCAAGAGATGTTCATGGGAGAGATAGTCAAGGTATACTACACCGACAGTACACTTGGTAACAAACTGTAAGATAGGATATGTAGACAATGTTTTAGGCAAGTACTAATATTTGCACTGGTCATAAGTCTGATGTAGTTTGAGAGTAGTTTGAATTAATTAATTAATCATCAGATTTTTTTGATTTTTTTTAACAGAACAGGAATATCACCAGTATTGATATCGGTCCAAAGACAGTTGTTCTGAAGAACAATGAGAAGCTACATCGAGGGCCCCTGCCTATGATCAAAGTCCCTCCAGGGCATTACTGTGTCATAGAGAACCCTTGCATGTATGTATATTTGTTAAACATTTATTAACCATATACCGTACATGTACCCTGAAAGCCACATTTCAACCCTACCAAATCAAAGACTGGGCAAGTCCAGTTTATAAATGTAGGGGTGAATGAGTTTACAAAAGTATCTAGGTATGAAATTTCTTAAAGATTCTTGTATTTTCTAGCAATACTGCATCCTCAATATCCAGGGGTTATGCTCACTTTCCTCTCTACACCCCTGGAAGCAAATGACCGTGATATTCTTTTGATGTACATCAAACTAGTCTTCTTGTTTCTGCAACAAAGCTCCCACCTTGTTGCTGAAACAAGAAGACTAGTTTGATGTACATCAAAAGAATATCATGGTCACATAACAGTAAAAATTGACAGGCTAAATCCGCTTTGAAGTCAGGTGGCTCGCCTTTGTAATCTTCAAAGGACAGGTATCAGCCTAGCTATTGTTCAGTTTTGTTTACCTGAGACCAATCAAACAGCTATGTTCATGCCTTCAATTTTGCTATGACATATTCCAGGGGTGCAGAGAGGGAAAGTGAGCGTAACCCCTGGATATCGAGGATGGCATTACTATAGCTTTGACAACTCCTATCGAAAAAGAAAACCATACTTGCAAAACTTTTGTGAAAAGCTGACAATGATGTAATTAACAAAAATGAAGCAACAACAGTATTCTTATTGTGAAAATGCAATGGGGCTTCTCCAAGATTTAAACCCTACACCTCTGATCAGTAAACGGTTGTTCTAACCAACTGAGCTACCTGGTCAACGGTAGTGCTTCTGCCCAATACAATTACATCACAAAATGAAATTAAGGGGAGGTTACTGTATATATGAAATTCTACAGAGGAAATACGGTACTGAGGTTAACATACTGGGGATTGATATGTAGGGGTGACAGATGAATTCTTGACTCTTTCTTTGACATAAAACTTTCATTGGACTGAGGTTTGCACTGTAACAATGTTTTCACATAATTGGTAATGAATATATATACATGTACATTAATTTTTTTTTTCAAATATTTAACAATTCTACAAAAGATAGATAATGTCTGATCCCTGTGATTTTTTTTCTTCAGGAATTATGTACCTGGTCAAGTTAGTCAGAACCTTCTGGGCCAAAAACAGTACAAATTTTACCAGGTAAGTAGTCACCTCTAGTTCACCTACGGGGGGTAGATGTTTTATTAACAATGAAATTGGTGAACTTAAACAAATAGCACATACGGTTATGGAATAATAGAATATTTACCATTTCACCCCTATGTAACTTTACTAGACTCTACCATGCATTGACTTGGGTGAATCTATTAAGGTCTACAGTGGTCAGGGGTTAAAAGTCAATAGTTTTTGGAAATGTATAAAGAATCAGTGACTACTGTTTCAGAATGACAAGATATTTGGAATGAAGGAATTATTTGGACGTTGATCATGAATATTCAAAGACATTTTGAAATGAGTCACTAGGCTATCAGTAAAAATTGTTTGCAGTTCCCCATAGTTGATAACTACTTTTTTTTTCCAATTAACTTTTAATAAACAAACAACATTTGGCTGAAAGAATCCTCAAAATTAATGTTTCAAACTAAGAAACCAGACATGTCCGAAAATGAAAAAAATAGTCTCTACCTACCTATCAAGGTGGGAGGTGTTGGAGTGGGAATGGTAAGGGACAAAGTAGGGAAACTACACCTGCCAACAAATATTCAAGAACAGCTATATTTGCTGTGAGACTATTTATCAGTGATGGACTTTTGTAAAGGTAAATATATGTGGTTTTATGGATCTGAGAATGTGATATAGACATATACAAAGTCCGGGTCATTATCTATTTTTCACGTCCATTTAACCACATTTTCACCTGAATAAGAGTCTCTAATTAATACCGAATAATGAATCTCATTTCTATTATTAACAAGATGGAATGTATAAAAATTGTCAGGAGAAATCTACTGCATTTGGCAGAGAGCATTTTTACATTACAGTTGAAACAAGGTCATAAATAGATTATTAACCTGCTGTTCCAAAATAAAAGTAACACCTAATCAATATCCTAAATTACTGACCTCCATGTGATTATGATCCAACCAATGGGACGGGACTATAGGAAAAATGGTGTTTTCTACTACAATGAGATATTGTTGGTATTGTAGGAGCCCTTTCCCCTGTTGCCTGGCGAGGTCCTTAGTGGGGCCCCTGAGTACCAAACAGGTAGGTCAAGCTATGCGCCAGCCTTGAAGCCCCTCCCTACGGTAAAGGCTAACCATGCAATCAGACTGAGAGCACTGGTGGACTTTGAAAATGAGATGGGGAAATATCAGGCTGGGGACCAGTGGCAGCTGAAAGGCCCCCTCACCTATTTCCCTTCTCCTGAAGCGGTAAGTCATTTCATCTCTCATCCCTCCAGTTTCAACTGTATAGCCTACCTTGGAATCCAATGGTTCTGATTTTGATTCACGAGATCATGAATCGATCTTCAGTCAAAAATTGTCTGAAGTCAACCAATCACAATAATTTCATGAAATGTAACGTTATATGTGATTGGCTAAGCAAACACTTCAGTCTTAAATTGTGTCATGATCCCGGGGCCTGTAAGATGCTTTGACAAAATTAAAGACTATATCAAAGTTTTGCTTTCTGCACAAAAAATGTAGATTTTAAGCGTGTCACAAGGTATCAAGACTGACTGGTCCCTTTGTCAAGCTATGACTGAGTGAGCGATTTGTATTTTTTACCAGTACAACAATCTGACGAAATTGTATATTTTTGAAGTCACTCGACCCGGGACGTTTCGCCTATCGTATACACACTGCATCAGATAGTTTAATTACAGCATTACATCATTGTACAGGTAAAAAATACAAATCGCTCACTCAGTCATAGCTTGACAAAGGGACCAGTCGGTCTTAAAACGTCGCGTATGTACATTGTTTGTGTAGAAAGCAAAACTTTGATATAGCATATTTCCAAACTGATGAATCTTATTAAAGATAAAATTAAAGGCTCTTTACACAGCACCTTGCGGATAATACATGTAGACAAGTCTAATGTCTGATGAAGATCAAAGGAATCCTGCAGCAGTGTAATGGTAAAATCGAAAAGCTTTGAAATTGAGTGTAGCTCCTTTTGATAAATAATTTCTGAAAAGAATAAGATACATTGCAGAACTTTTATGAAAAAAACACCCCTGTGATAAATAAACCATAAAAGAATCCACAGCAGTGTTCTGAGTACTGTATAACACGAGATGTTCGTGGGGACTTTCCTTCGTGGTTTGAAGTCATTTAGATTGTTTCGTGGTACAAACTTTCATGCATATTCCATATTAACACACAAAAGACACGCATATCATTCAAATTCCTTGTATTTATTTTCGTGGTTCAATAAAATCCACGAAAATAAATGTTTATACACAATGAACATTTCATGTTATACAGTATAAAAGTAAAATAAAACTGATCAGGATTCGAACCCGGACTTTGGATCTTTATACTGTCACTATAACAGCCAGAGCTACCTGGTGGACAGAAGTTGACCTGACCCAGTAATACTGCAGTTATTACCAAACTGAAATTACAGGGAGGTTACTGTATGTACACAAATCAGCATTGGAAATTCGTAGTGTTTTGTCTATTGTTGGAAAGAGATAATGTTCATGCATAAAAAGTGACTTGACTCATTTAGCTTCATTGCGACATCAAGAAATTTTTCAGAATGTCTCACTCAGGTTGGGACAAGGAAATGGTCATCTTCACCCTTGAAATATGAGTATAGTTACATACAACCCCACTACCGGTAATAGAAAGTTATGTAATGGTAGCAAGGTAAATTGGTTCCAGTGTTGTTCATTTAAAACTGCAAAGTTTCATCGCAGCCAGTTTGTCCCAAATGTATCATTCTGTGGTAGCCCATAGGATGTATAGTTTGGATGTTGGATCAATGTTTTCTGTTTTAAGCTGAATTCTTAAGAAATTAACTTTCTTAATTTTGTTTGTTTAATTTGTAGGAAATAGAGAAGATGGTTGAACCGATAGTGTTGCAGAATGGAGAGGGACTGAGACTCAGCGCAACTGTGTACTTCACGGACTGCAATGGCGTGTATGTAGAACATGGCCAAGCAAGCCCTTACAAAAATGAGAAAGTCTGCAGTGATATTACGGCTATATTGCAGCAATACCGCTGCACATAAATCAGTTCACCAGAACGTGTTGCCAGAAATGCCCAGAATATTGCCGCCCTAGCGTTGATATTCTGGTGATGTTCTGGCGTAGTACTCATATCACAATAACATCGCCAGAAGTGCACTACAGAATAGGCACACAGAATCATGGGAATTCTAACAGTTGCTAAAAAGTGAATTTGACATGGTTTTTCTTGTCTGAATGATACTCCTATAACATAAGTGGCCGCTGGTATGCCTTTTTAGGTCACCTGAGCTTTAGCTCAAGTGACCTATTGCTATCCGTTTTCGTCCGTCGTCGTCCGTCGTCTGTCATCCGTCGTCCGTTAACATTTTACATTTCAAACTTAAAGTCAAGTTCTGCTGGGCCGATTGAACTGAAAGTTGGTAGGAATGATCGCCTCATGGTCCTGACAAAGTGTTGTTATTTTTCGGGTCGATCAGAAATCCAATATGGCCGCCACGGCCGCCATTTTGAAAACCTATTTCAAACTTAAAGTCAAGTTCTGCTGGACCGATTGAACTGAAAGTTGGTAGGAATGATCGCCTCATGGTCCTGACAAAGTGTTGTTATTTTTCGGGTCAATCAGAAATACAATTTGGCTGCCATGGCCGCTATTTTGCTACTAAGTTCTAATAGGCCGATCTCACTTAAAATTGGTCTAGGAATGATCAGCTCATGGTCCTGACAAAGTTAAGTTAACATTATACTATTTTTTACTCAAATTGGTACATATTTCAACAACAAAAATAAATATTGTAGGACTCAGGTGACCGTTAAGGCCCATGGGCCTCTTGTTTCTATCGGATATGAATTTGCCGACTACGCTCCTGTATAAAGTATCTCGCCGTGGAAACCTCTAACACTGTTGGAGTAGTCTGAATGATAGCTTGATTGTTGCCCTTTGTAATGTCAAAAACCGTGTTAATTCTGGGCATGACTGGCTCAAGGTCAAGGTCACTAACACTAAAAATAGAATTTTGCAAGATTTCCGCTGGGGAATATAATGGTGGCTCTCTTTTTGAATACGTTCTCCCGTCACAAAACCTTAAGTACTATTTGGTGTCATAAAAAGGTCTACTTATTAAATTCTTTTAATCATGTCAACTTGATAGATTTTTCTTTAAAGGGAGCGTGTGACCGGTGAGGAGTGGATCCATTACACGACAGGAGACTACCTCCCGGACGTATATGAAAAGGTAAAAATTAACAAACATCGACTCGACATAACCCAGGAACCGTTTGTTTATGCAGAACAACCGGTTTGTTCATTTTTAAATGTATCAATTTCGGGTATATAATCCTGGCGGATCGCAAATGTTTATGCAGGCCTTGCAAGGCTTTGTAAAGGCTTTGTCAAGGCTTTGACAAGGCTTGCCTGAAAGCAGCATCAGATTACTAGGTCCAACCTTATTTAATAAACGAACAGCTGTGGTCCGACCGGTTCAACCGTTTAAAGGAAAATGGCCCTAGAAACATGTTTAAACTAGAAGCTGATAGGTATGCATCTAGTTTCATCAAAACATGATGGCGGTTTAAAAGTTTCAAATTGGACGAGCTATCTGCTGTTACTCATTCAGTCAAAACGTGTGTCTATGATATGCACTGTTGTTTTAAAACAATACAGTCATGAAGAGGCATTTGCAGCCTGGAGTGTTTATCTTAGTAGCCCCTTTGTAAAAAAAAATCTTTGCTGTATCTGATTTTCATTTGCAATACATAAGTATGTATGTGAATCAAAATTCTAAAGAAAATTTAGAGATATATCTTTTTAGAAATCAATACATTATTGTTTGAAAATCATAAGTGAGGAAAATGAAAATAAAAATACCATTACCATATGATATATACTGTAACTAAGTTATCACATTTACTCATGCAATAAGTCAATACAAAGGGATTGTCTTATAACATGACAATGAAATAGTATTTTGTAGCATTGCTGCTAAACTGCAATATATATGTGTGAGCTTAATGCCAGGCGTGGGGTTATTGCAAGATAAATACAGCAATTATGCTGATTGCCATTGTTACAGGTTTTGGGTGTGGAGAAACAGGTCACACTGACACCCGATCAAGGCCTGAGATTACAAGCGACACACTCCATTACTGACAGGCAGGGCATCAAAAGGTAACTTCAGTTCTGATTTAGGATCCACTGCATGCTAAACACTAGGGAATTCCATTACAGTTTTTAAAACATATAGAAGTCTCCCCTTAATTTTGGTTTGATTATAAAGTGCAGTGGGACAGATCCACTGGTCAGGCAGCTCAGTTTGTTTAAGTGACTGTATTTAGACATAAGGTGCAAGGTTCAAAACCTGGTGTGGCCCTGTTACATTCTATCATTTTATCTTGATTTTCATAAAAGTTCTACAAGGTATCAGTTTCTTTTCAGGAATGATTTGTAAAAAAATTGTCAGTATTTTGATGAATTTTGTTTATTGGCCAGTACAAGTAAGTCATCATGCAGTGACTTTATATTTCATTTTCCGAGTGACATTTATTTCACAAATATCACATATATTATTCTGCTATGAAATACTCGAGCAATTGTCTTTTCATCTCGAAATTGGTTCAGAGATAAATGTGACAGCGGAATCAATCAAACTATCAATGAGATTCTGATTTAGTCAAAAAAAGTGACAGATACAGGTCCAATGTGCCTCTTATTTCCTGATTCTGTTTTGTAGATTGGTAGGTGAGGAATGGCTGGTGACCGGTGAGGACTTGGAACAGTACCTGCCTGAGATAGGAGTGGTCAGTATTATAGAAGTCTTGGTCAAAAGTGCAAATTACAAAGTACACAGCTCTAGAATATATAACTGATCGTTTAACCCCTACATTTTTAAGATGGACTTGCCCAGTCTTTGATTTGGTAAGGTTCAAATGTGACTTTGGGGTTAAAAGTCCACTTGTGTTAAGAGACCACTTTTAATTTCCCCATTGCAGTTATATATTTCATTTGGAAATTAACTTGTATTAAGAGACCACCTGTGTAAAGAGACCACCTGCATTAATAATAATAAATAATAATAAACTTCATTTAACGAGGATAATACATGTACAGCCAAAGGCTAATCTACCACATCCTCAAAATTAGTAGAACATACTAATGGTGAGTAAGATACATCAATATATAAGAGGTTTTGTATATTAATATCACAGATTCATATCAATTTAAAATGTGCACAAGTTTGGTTAATCCACGAAATGACATAATGCCTAATATACATATATGCTAATATAGCAAACAGTAAAATTTTCCAGGGTTTTACGCTAATATAGCAGGAGTTGAAATACATATGTAGATTTATATAAAAAAAATGATAGTTTAAGAATTCAAAAAATAATTTATGAGTCTGCCCCTGAAATAATTTAAATGTTGAATGTCTTTTAAATCAGTTGGTAGACTATTCCAAGCTTGAGCACCAGATGTTAAAATTGTTTTGAATAAAAAGAAGTTCTTTGCTTAGGGACAACAACATTGTTTGCATTTGAATGTCTGGTATTTCTTGTGTGCTCATCTTTAACAAGTGTTATATTATCACACAAATAATTTGGTACCTTGCCATGAATACATATGTAAAACATACACAGCTTCTTAAATCTAAAAACTTCCTCAATAGGTAACCATTTTAGATCTGAAAACATAACACACGAAGGTGTGTCATATGGTACATCAAGCATAACACGTGCTGCCTGCTTTTGAGCTTTAAACAATTTATCCATCAAATTTGCAGAGCAGCCAGACCTTATAGTACTACAGTAGATAAAATGTGGAAACACACATGAGTTGTAAAACTTGATTCTACCCTGCAGTGGCAGATCCAGAGGGTTTTTTTGGGCTTCAGGAACCCCCCACCCTGAGAATTTCTTTAAAAATCATGTATTTTCACTATTTTCCTGAAGTTTTCCCCACATGCCCCCCTCCCCCCAGATAGGTCTATGGATCCGCCACTGCCCTGTACTGGTAAATAACGATGAGTGCGCCTTAATAACCCTAGGTATACTACAGAAACTTAGAGTATGATGAATTTGTTTAAAAAGGGTGGTGCTATATTCAACAAGATTGAATAAATAATAATCAAATTCCATAAAATAAAATAAATAAAAAATCTATTCAATAAACTGTGTTGAAATCCTGAAGATAATGTATCCATTCCACTTCTCTTAGAGTGTAATTGTTATAAAATTTCAAAGGCAAACATATAACATTGAATTTGAGACTGACAACTTATTTTTTCTAAGGATTTGCCTGGAATAATATCACATATATTTGAACTTCACAACTGGATAATTAGATAAAGGGCTGTTCTGAAATAAACCTTTGTCTATCGAATCATTTAAAGACCCTATTTAGAGGTCAACACAGGTTGCCTTCGACACCGGGGGTCGACCCACTCCTACCAGTACCCCAGTGTCCAGGTGCTATGAAACAGTCTAGATCTCATTTGGGCTGAATTCCTGATAATTTTTTTATTTCGTAAACCTGTATAAACTTTATTTATTTTACAACAATAAGGAAAAAGGACTTCCTATCTACGTTAATGGATGAAAGCACATAGAGGGTCTTAATAAGGGAAGAAACAAGGTTACCCAGATAAAAGTCTGGGCAGATGATCAAATGCCTTCTCATGTCTGATTAGGAATTTGAAAACCTTTTGTCTTAATAAAGGATGAGTGTGTTATCCAGTGTACCACTCCAAAAAAAAACAATACTCAAAATAGAATTCTGTATTTTGTTTTGCAGACAATATTGTCTGAGGAAAAAAGAATTGTGGTGAAGAAGGGAGAGTATTGTATCGTATTGGATGTAGTGGACAAAAACTGTAAACCACAGCTGGGGAAGAGGGAGCTCCGTACCGGATGTTGCAGCTTTTTCCTCCATCCAGGTTTGTAATATTAATTCATATTAGACTCCAAAAAGGGGCCGCGGTGGCCAAGTGGTTACAGTGTCTGACCGTCTATGATCACCAGACCTTGACCATTGGGTCATGGGCTCAAGCCCTACACAGGGCAATTGCCATGTACTGGCCGCCAGGTCATTTGTTTTGCTCTGAGTACTCCTGCTTTCCTCCACCACCAAAACCTGGCATGTCCTTAATTGACCATAGCTGGTTATAGGACACAAAACACAAATAAATAAACAAATACTCTAAAAGAAAGATAATGATGTCATGTTAAAAACATTTTTGTAATTTCAGTTAGTAATACCTTTGAAATATTGTTATTTGATTTGAAAAATCTTTGAAGATTTATCCTTGTAAAAACCAATTCATTAAAGTCATATTTTTTCTGGAAAAACATTTGGAAATTAGTTTTGTCTCGACATTGATGAACAGAAGTTTTGATATAAGGTTTTCTCAACGAGGAGAGGAAAGTTCCTAATTATTGTTACATTCTGGTATTTATGTTGCAGGCGAAACCCTTGAGAACGGCAAAGTTCAAAGTGCATACATCTTGTCTGATAATGAGGCTCTGGTACTTCAGGCTGACGAATATATAATGGAAGTTTTAGGCAAAGGTACTGTATATAAAATAAACCTCACACATTGATACTGAAGGAAATATTAAATCTCAAGTAAAGTTCATAGTATTTGAATGGATGAGAGAAAATTCGACAAAAAACACTTTCACCTGCTAGAAATACAAAATTCAGCAAGAGTGAGTTTTCTTTGGGAGTAAGAAACCTCACATGTTTACTGAAATGTAGAATTAATCAGGTGAACTGTTTCACAAATCTGCAGATTCTTTGGGAACATTCATTTACAGTGTATCCATGAATAATTTGTGAGAATATTTTGCCGAATATATATTTCTAGCCATCCCTCTACAATTTCTTTAGATTTTGCCAAGGAAAGCAATCAAATATTTGTTTTCCTAACTTTATGTAGATATGTATAATAATAACAATATGAATATGACCTGCATGAAAAATATGCTCATCAAGCAACAATGTATTACTGTGTTTGTAAACATTTTGTTTATGAGACTTGTATTTCGTTACCCAGGTAAGGCCGTGAAGAGAAGTCCAGGTGACCGTTGGATGATACGCGGCCCAATAGACTACACTCCGCCATTACATGTCAATGTTGTTGACAAAAGGTATTCAGAGAGTTGTCTGTTTTCAAGTTTTTATGGAAAAGATGTCAATCTTTACATTTAAAAAGTTGTATGTTTTTCATTGAATATATATATGTATATGAAATTACCTTTGTCAAATGTTTGAACTTATATATAGATATTATACTTTAACCCTTTTGCCCCTGTAGACAATAATGGACTCATCCATGTCAATGCATAAATGGTCTACTCAAGTTACATAGGGTGACAGGGTAAATAATTAACTGTTAGGCAACAGATACAAGAGGAAGCCACAACAATACATACAAGTGTGTTTGTATGACAATAACAAAATATTATGTTTAATCTTTTTTATTAACACTCCAAAAAATTAGTCATTTGTTTGAAGGCTTTCTCTGATAACTTTGATGCCTTCAAGGGAGATATTGACAGAACAGCACTTGAGTGTTTGATTTGAAGCTACTCAACTTTGTTAAGAGTCAAGAGTCACAATGACCAAGAGCTTAATGAATGAACCGCAATTCTTTTGCATTCATTGTGCTACAGACACTTACTTTATTTGGTAGTTTAATAGAGTGGATATGCAGTGCAAGTGTAAATACAGTGTTAACAAAGGTAAAAAATATTAAAGTAAGAGATATGTACATTTAGGCCCTCCTCCTAATACAGATTGAAGCAAAAGAAAAACTTTGTATCTTAAGAAAAAACATTTGTTGTTCCGAAGACTGATATGTTTGACCATGGGACCATATCAGCCAAGTGGTTAAGGCTGATATGTTTGACCATGGGACCATATCAGCCAAGTGGTTAAGGCATCTGACCATCTGTGACCACTAGCCCTCTACCAATGGGTTAAGGTTTCAAGGCCAAGGTGGGCAGTTTCCGGTTTTGGCTACCACACTAGGTTGGTGGTTTCCTCTGGGAACTCCGGTTTTCCTCCACCACAAAAATCTGGCAAGTCCTTAAATGACTAAAGTTGTTAATAGGAATTAAAACACAAACAAACTAAATGTTGGACTAACTTCTTCAGCAGTCTTTTTGGTGAATTATACTAATGATCATGAAATCTATTTTTCAGGACACAGATCCCTTTAAGTAAAAATGAAGGCATCTATGTTCAGGATAGGAAGACCGGCAAGGTAAAATATACAACAAAAATATTTGAGGATTCCCTTAAGTATTAGCCTTCTGATTGGTTATAAACTTTGGAGTTTATGCTTCTAGCAGTGGAATATATACAAATTCAATAACCATTGTCAAAATTTACTATTGTATCTTTTTAAACACTGTAGTTTGTATCTCTCTCAGGTGTTATTTCTCATATTTGCAACCTTGCAAAACACGATTATAATAATAGGAAAACAAAGATTCGTGTTTTACTACCCAAAAGGGCAATTATTTCTTTATCACACCAAAATAATCCAATCAGACAGGCTGTTACATTGGTATTTATTATATGAAATAATATGGGATTTTGCATATACATATGTACCTGTATTATTTATTGATTTAAGATATAAAAAAAGTTTTGCGGTAATCTTTTGTTTTTTTACTCTCATCTGCTTATATGTGGTGTATTCTACAGGTGAGGGCAGAGATGGGACCCCAGTCGTACATGTTGACGGAGAACGAAGAACTTTGGACAAAGGTCCTGCCTGAAGATACAGAAACTCTCCTCAAGTAAGAAGACGAGTCTGATACTGTTTATTGATTTTAGAGATGACTTAGGGATGAATTGTGAAGTGTGTCAACTGTTTCCTAACCACTGATGACTTAATGCTGTCTTGTCTTCAGGGCGTCATATGATGTCAATATAAAAGTTTATTTTGATAATTCTTGAAAATTCAGCTTAAACGAACAATAGATCAAGAAAGGGTTCAAAGTTTACTTTCTAAAAATGACTGAACAGATTTAGAATAGAAAAGCTTGGATTTGACCTATAAGAACATCAGGCACAGGGAGATTTTAACAGTGTTTAAAAGAAAACTTATCCAACTTTCCAAACGGTACTAAGCATTTTCCTGTAGATCAACTAGAAATGTTGTTTTTGATGCAAGAAAGTTCGGTGAGGTCGACATTTCGACATCAAGAGCTTTCCTCCCTTCTCCGTATATTATAATCATTGGGGATGCCATTTTTACCGAAAGTCAATCTAAACCTCATTAACATGTAAAATACTCTTATAACATCTTAGTTTAGGTCCAAATATAGCTGTAAAAAATTCCCAGGTCCCTGTGGACGCGAGGTGTGAAAAATTTACCTGGAGTGGACAGGCGATCACCTGGGGAGATGTACAGTTAGCCGGACCTATTGTTTATTTGTAAAGGTTTTTTCACACGGACAACTTATCTGAGTTTTTACCTTATAAAATCCATTCACGGCGGAAAAAATATCATAATAAGCGGGGTCCCACCTTTGACCATATCATATTAAACAATTTTGTTTTGCTTAGTTAAAGAAGGAAAAATCGGTACACGGAGAAAATATCATAATAACCGATATCATAATAAGTGGGTTCCACTGTATAATGAGTTTGGCGGTATATCGGTTTTACAGTTTTAAACCCAAGTGTTCACACACCAACTGAACTTATACTTTAAAAAATTTAAGAAATTTACTTCAGGATACCTTTTTTTTTTCTAAAATGGAATTTAATATATCAAATTATTGAGAGTGCAAAACATACAGCTGATTACCTGGTCAGTCGGCAGTCACGTGTAACAATACAATGTACACACGTACGTAACATCCCTGTCATCGGGATATACCTGTACTCAACTCCAATTGGCGACATATAACGAAGTCAAAAATGTGTGATTTTAACCAATTGTTTTGGAAATATGATGGCGGTATGTGGGTTTGGCATTACAACGGGTGCATTATTGTTGGGGAAATCCGTTATGAGTAAATTAATGGCGGTATGCAGGTTTGGCGGTTTGATGGGTGGCATTATAACAGTTTTACTGTAATCAAATCAAGGTAAAAAAAATCTTTCTTGACAGGTGAATCATACAGGCACTTTGGACCTTTTGTTTGTCTTAATATTTATGATTTCTGCTATGTTTTGTGTCTCTGACTCTACCCTTGTGTTACTACAGACAAGGAGGAGGTTCTGGGTCAGGAGACATCAGGAAGATGGCCTACTTTGAACAATCAATAGACCCACAGATACTCGAGGTAAGATGATCACAGAGTTAACCAGATATAGAGACTGATCTTAAAGATGTTCTGCTAGACGCACAGACCGCCAACAAAAACTGATCACACAGCGAAACAAAGTTTGTGGGTAAAGTGAATGGTAATGATATTTACCCAGAGAGTCATTGAAGTACATTGTTGCAATGAGTTTTGCAGATCTACTTTTTCTATGTTCTGAAATTAAAGCATAGGACACCAACCTAAACACAAATTATGCAATATTTTGTCTCCCACATTATATTGGTTGCCGATATAAAGTGGAACAAGCAGGCCTTTTCTTTATCCTAAACTTGCACAAAGTTAAACAAACTATTGAAAATGAATTTATGTATTTTTGTACTGCATGCATTTGGGAATCTGATTCGTTTATGTGTCTGCAGGTAAAACAAATGTCTCTTAATGTGCTGGTTATTTCCTACAGTGGAAAGAAATGTCATATTTATTTTTGGCTCTTATGAATCAATCATTTGAGACTATTTTTGGACATTTTAGCATGAATGAGAAACACACAACTGCATCGTCATTAAACAGGTATTTTGTTTAAAAACAATAATTTGATTTTTTTATCCTGATTATAGGGACGTAGGAAAGGCCATGTAGTAACATTTCGTTGTCCTGGCAACACAGCTGTACAGGTAAGGCCGAACTTCACGATTGTGTCAACAAGATTAAGTTTGCTTTCTCACAACAGATGTCTTCATATTGTCATTTTAGATAAAAACACTTTACACATTGTGTAATGTTTAGAAATGATCAAATTAAAGATAACACAACTTGACTTAAGGATGTATGCTGATTACTCAATGTGGCATATATTTTCTTTTCAAAATACTTTGACAGTTAAACAGCTTTAAAATAGTTTTCAATGGATTATTTTGGACAAGGTTATTAAGTTAAAAGTACACATATGAATATCAACATAACTGGTAATAACATATGATTATGTAAATATATAAAAATGTTATATAAGGGAGACAACCCCTTAATTAAGAGTGTTTAAGGAGACAACTCATTAATTTAGGATGTTTAACTCTTTCTGTATCACAAATCTGGTCCGGATTCCGTACCGCCATTCCGGTCCGGATTCCGTAACGCAAATCTGGTCCAGATTCCATACCGGATGCCCTTACTAGACTTGCCCCCGCTCATATATCAAAATGGCAAATTAATAATGTACTTTTTAGACGAGGTGTAACTGTTGCAAGAAATAAACAGGTAAACGTGAACAAATGTTGTTATTGTTTCATGTTGTTGTTCATAGACACACACTTCTTCATTTTCGCAGAATTATGACTAACTGGCAGCTGATTATGACTGAGAAATCGACATTTGTCCGGTAACAAACAATACAATTCCCTGTTTTCAAGACTTATATTAAAATATTCATATTTACTTCCATAAGTGTCCATAAATATTTTGTGATGAATTTACCAGTGTTCATATTGAATAAAGTTGCCACCATCTTGATTCTATTTGAGACACCAAACGCAAACATCTTGTGGCAAATTTGAAAACAATAGGTCACTTAAGGAAAATTCTGTACTCTGCACCTATAAAAATATTTCTTTCCAACTGATTAGTGCTGATTTTAGCGACAATTAATTGTATTATGCGACAGTCGTGTGCGATAACCAGCTAAACACAAGACAGGTTACACCAACGTCTCTTGTCGTGTGTACACGACAACGCATTAGACGGCCCATTATTTTGTCGTCTGTACACAACAACGGAGACCAGGATGACATTTTATTGTTGTGTGTACACGTTGTCGTGTGTACACGACAACGGTACAGAAAGAGTGAAGAGGGACATCTCATTGATTAACTCATTCACCCCTGAAGACACATTTGAACTCTTCCAATTCAAAGGTTGGTATAGTTTATTATGAAATTTCAGGGGTGAATGAGTTAAAGATGTTTAAGGGAGACAACTTCAACAATTTGTATGTACCGGTATATCATAATGAGTTATACATGATTTTAATGTACAATTGCCATTTCTTGTTGTAATGAATAATTATGTATCTCATGTAAAATGACTTAACTGTCACTCTTCAGATGATCAGGGTTAAAAAGGAGATCCTGGGAATAGTTTTAAAAATTCATTAAGAAGAAAAGACATTTGTTGACATGGTCAAAACTTTATTTATAACTGAACTGTAACCATAAAATAATATCCAACTTTATTTTTGAGATGAGTGTTTTTCTGTTTTTAGTTGAGACAGGTGTATTTATCAAATATTTTTACCTGCATCAACAGGTGTATAATTACCTGGAGAAGACAGCACGTGTCGTGTTCGGACCAGACCTGGTCATCCTCGGACCTCACGAAAATTTCAATGTCCTCAGCCTAAGTGGTAAGGTCAAAAGGATACAAACTTTCTGATCTGCTGGTATGGTACTTTGAACTTTAAGCATGTTATATATACCCTAAAATCTTGATAATAAGCTGTGGCTTATTTTTTATTTTTAGGAAGGAATCTCGGGCTTATTTTCTATTTTAAGTAAGGAATCTAAGGTTTATTTTCTGTATATAGTAAGGGATCTCGGGCTTATTTTCAAAGCTGGCTTATTATCATATACATTTTTGTAGTCTTATTTCCGTAGCCTTTTAGACAGTAAGACAAGAATTGCTTATTTTCATTGCAAGAAATGAGATCACTATGATTGTCAGACTAACTAGCAAGGATAGAGATAAATACTGATGGAAACCAGGAAATGTCAATAAACAAATTTAAATTGTAACAATTGGAAATACCTGGTGTTTGACCACAGGACATCAATTCATGACATGATGTTTTCCTTGGAATATTAGGCCTTTTTTCAGGAACAGCTTATTTTTGAGGTATGTTTGACTGCAAGGAATTAAGAACTTATTTTGACGGCCAGCATTTTCCCCCCAATTAGGCTTGTTTTTGGCGATAAATATATAATCTGTAATTACATAGTCACAATCAAATGCGACCTAGAAATGGCAGCACTGGCTGTATGCTCCCCAGGGAGTTGAGAAACATATTGGCTGGTTGCAAAGGCCCTATAACCAGGGAAAATAATTTGTGAACCACTTTGAGATGACCTACAAACTAGGTTGTGATAAAGCGGTACATGTATCTAAGAACCTTGAATTATTATTATTATTAATTTGTTTGTATGTTTCTGTACAATTTAAGTTTTTATTCGAGTTTTTTTTATATTCTAGCTGGTAAACCTAAGAAGGAGGGTGCAATGAAATCTCTGTGTCTGATGCTGGGACCAGACTTTATCACAGACATTCTAGAAGTATGTATACCGTACTTCTGAAATTTTGAATTACTTTTGGCCGTTGGATCTCAAGTGTAAAAGTGAACCTTTGGTGGTGTGACAAAGCTTTGAGGGGCCGTGGTGGCCGAGTGATGAAGATGTCCGACATCTAGGATCACTAACCCTCCACCACGGGGTCAAGGGCACGTCCTTAACCCTTTCACCCCTAGGTAACTTTAGTAGACTCTACCATACATTTATCATGGTGAGTCCATTGTGGTCAACTTAGGTGTAAGGGTTAAATGACCATTGCTGTTAGTCGGACGTGAAGCACTAACAAACAAACAAACCAAAACAATGTTTTCATTCTTGTTATTATTTGGATTGTTAAGTAATTATCGGTTTATCAGATAAAATGAAGGCCAGGGGCCTGTTTTTCAAACACTGATTCACTTAAAAATTTACAAAATACAAATTTTCCAAAAAATCATTTTTGAGAAATACCTTGAAGCGTACAATTATTTGTGTTTCTGGCTTTATGATGAATATTTTGAATCCCTATTCATAAAAAAATCATTTTTGAATTTCATTTTTCTTGAAATTACATTAGATTTAAGTTTTGCATGAAGTTGTTGTTAGGCTAAATCATGTTTTTGACAAATGGGACCAAAATATCAGATTTGGAAAAAAAAATGTAATTTTAAGTAGCATTAATTCGTTATTGTTATTCAAAATCAATTTCATTCTAGTTTAGATTTTTATTTCATTGTTGAATTAAATTTTCTTTTGAAAATGAAAAAAATGTCATGCAACTTATTTGAATTTTTGAACAGGTAGAGACATCTGACCATGCACGGTTAAGGATCCAGCTCGCCTTCAACAACCACTTTGAGGTATTTTCCATGTGTTAATTAATTAACACAAATTCACTTGCAGCAGGTTTTATGTTGATGTAATGTATGTGGTCTCTGTGACTGGTACAAATATCGATATGCATGATGAACACAGGTACTCTCACAGAGTCATCAGAAGAAAGTGCAAATAAATATGATAAAAATTGGAATCGAAAAAATAAATCTATATTTCAATATAGGGTAGGCAAAAACCATTTAATCGGACACACATATATACTATGGGATATACTTTATTGTCCTGATTAGACAGAATATCGGTACAACCTGGTGTTCTTTGGAAGTTTTCTTCAAAAAAAGGGATTACATCAATACATAAAATTTAATGTAGGAAATACTCACAGCCATGGGCCATATGCATGAGATTGGTTTCTTGGTTTCACTGTATATTCGTACCATGACTGTAATGATGCACAAAGAAAATATCGTTTAAACAATGTCTTTGTAGAAAGTAGTTATTATTTGCTACTTATCAGAGAAAGATATCTAAAGAACATTTTTAAACACGTAGTTACAACAATTTTTTTATGATATTTTGTTTTATGCATCTAACTTTCACATCGACAGATGACTGGGATGTAACTCTTTATTGTGTCATCCTATGTAACGTTACAATTCACCCTGACACTCTCTTTGATATCCAAGAGTGCCATTCTCAATATAGATATCTTTTCTACACTCCTGGAATATATGTCGTAACAAAATCAAAGTTTTTTTACGCAACACATTGAGGATTATAAAAGTAGACTTTCATTGATGGAGATCAAAGAAAACATTTGGCAGCAAAATCGTTAAATCGACATTCTTTGAAGCTCCCTGGTAATCTTCAAAGGACAGGTATCAGCCTAGTGATTGGTTATGCTTTTATACTTTTAACGAATCAAAAAGCTTACCGTGAGTCTTCGGTTTTGTAAGGACATAATTTCAAGTGTGTAGAGAAGGTATATGTATCGAGGGTTGAGCCCTTGGATTTTGAAGATGCCCCAATGTGAAACAATTTTTAGGTCACCTGAGACAAAGTCTCAAGTGACCTATTGCGATCGCCTTTTGTCCGTCGTCCGTCGTGCGTCCGTAAACAATTTACATTTTCGACTTCTTCTCCAAAACCCCTGAACCAATTTCAATGAAATTTTGCAGGGACCTTCCATGGACAAAGGTCAACAAAAATAGT